TCTGTCTCACACATCACACTGTCTATGCATGAGAATTCAGGTCTAAGAGAATGCATAATTTCGTTTTAGCACAATTACTTTTTAAAACCGAAAAATTAGTAAAATTCTGGAGAAACGGCGGGTAAGGCTTTTTGCTTTTACATATTTAAAGTGCCCTTTGACACCAGAGTCTTGTTTTCTTGCAGTAATAGCAAAAAGCAAGAGGCATCTGAATTGTCCGTAGTGTCTACTCATGTCAGGTCGTAGGCCTGAAGTGGTTGTAAATCTATGCAGATCATGTAAGTGGGATTCCACAAATTCCTACCTGGAAACAGCCTCTCCATGCTCCTAAATTCCACTTATTCCAGTGAGCTCTGGTGGCTTAGTTGTAAAGAGATGGGCTGTCAAACCAAAAAGCAAGTGGTTCAAACCCATCAGTAGCTGAGAAACAAAGAGAAAGAGAAAGAGGAAGAGAAAGAGGAAGAGAAAGAGAAAGAGAAAGAGAAAGAAAGGCAATCTCTTCTTGAGCTATTTACAGCCTTTGAAAACCTGTTGGAGGGTCAGCCTATGAGTAGGTTCCAACACGGCGGCACGTAACAACAGCTGTACACATTTGATAGATGCCTGGTTTTCGCTGGGAAATCTGAGCCGTCTTGGTTGTTTATATTTTTTTTTTTTGGAACAAGATAAAATTGAAAATATCCAACCATATCTACTTTCTCCGAATACAGTGAATTTTTTTTTTTTGTTTCAACTAAGAAAGAAGATGGAGTTGGGGCTATACTTTCAGTGTCATTTTTAATAATCATGTACTTATGTTTATAGCAATGCTTATGATCACGTCCATGGAAAAGCATACAGGGAGTGACTTTCAATTCATAAACCCCTCAGAACTCTTGTCCTTCTGAGCTGGGCGGGAAGTTGTGGACACCATCTGACCCCATGGTTCTGTAATCTGCAGGAAAGGAAAGAATTTGTCTGGTTGATGGAGGTGACTGTCTACAGAATGAACGGATCCAATCTTGCTGCTAAGAATGGAGTGAATTGCTTAAGCTTTTCACTTAGAAAGACACTAATTAGAATACTCTTATAAGTAATTTGCTTAAAGGGACCATGGCAACTAGAAGTGATTTAAGTCCCAAAGATACAGGAACAATTTTCTTGGGTAAATAATGGTAGTAAGAGGAGCTAGGACTGAGGATGCCACCACAGCAGGGCAAACACGATGAAGAGGAAGTACACTGCAACACAGTCACTCAAAGCATAATTCATATCCAAGGCAAGTGAGAGAATCATGTAGCTTGAACACCTTCTCAGGAAGTCAGCACTCATGATGCCCCTTTTATTGAAGGCTTGATTCAAGGCAGACAGTAATTCCATGCTCACAGTGCTTTAAGTTACAAGCACAAGCCTTATGCCATATCTCCTCCTCACCTCCAAGTTTGTAAACAGCCAAAGAACCACATATCTAATTTTTGAAATTCTCTGGCTTTTCTTTTTGACCTTTGGTATTTGTGTATATTGACAATCTCTAAACCGTCGTACAAAACCACCTTGAAGTGTCAAGCTTTAAAAATGAGTCTTCTTTTCTCTTTCTCCTGTGCAGCTTGGATTATCTTGGCCTTGTCAAAATACATTCTCTAGTTAGAGGCTGGAAAGATTTCCCTCCTGGCTCCAACGTATTGATTTTCTTCAACACTCAGCTCTGTCACTCAGCCGAAGGGGTGAAAGGTGAAAGTTCACCCCGCACTGGTTGGCTTTTCCTTCCTATTAATGTCATGCCCTTTCCACATTTGATCAGTTTCTGTGATCACCAATCATACAGAATGTTACTACCTCTATTTCCCTATAAGGATACATTTAAGTCAGTCATCACCAGACAGTGAGATAATTCCTGGACTGACACTCTGAGTCTGACAAGGGCTGAGGATGCTCCCGCATTCAATTCCTTTATGTTTCTTTTAGAGACCATTATATGTGACCTCACCATTGATTCAAGTCAAGCTGTTCCTGTCTGAAAATTAAAAGAAAAGATGCATGTTTCCTTCCTGCACATAACCCTCTATGAACAATGAAGACCCATTCTTTTATTCCTGTATTTTCTGTAAACCAGTTACACTCTTTATCTCAGGGATTCAAGTTCAACTCCAAACTGGGTATTAAATGAAATGAAATGTATGTTTTCCCCCATCTCCTGTGGTGCAGCCAGCCTATGCCATCGAATCTGACAAGATCTCTTTTGGTACAACTAACAGCCTATTTACCAGTAATGGCAGGTAAAATTCCCTTGCCCAAACTACAGAGGGTGCTGCTGAGTTTCAGGTGGGGGTGGATCTGGTTCTTACCTGCTTCTATGGTGCAAGAGGGGACTTCTTGGGTGCTTACGAGCAAACTTGTCGTTCTTGAAGCCAGCTCTCCAAGGAAGATGGATAATTAGAAAAGGAGGCTTCAATTTGGTACCAAAGAGAGGGCAAAAAGAGTATGCAGGCTTTAGTCAGGGTTAGGGTTAGAGGAGTGAACAGAAAAAGCCATCACATGCAGAAGACAATCTTCAGCACAATTCTTTTTTATTTAACACACAGGACCATGTGGTGCACACGGAATCTATTAAGTGGAATCGTCAAGAAAAGTCTTGAGAGGCAAACATTTTCATTCTCTCGTGGTACACGGCGACTTTTGTCACTGCCACATCTTCATACAGGTGTCAAGGCCTGTCATCTTTTGCTTGTAAATTACCAGCAAAGCCATGTATGTCTCTACATTTACAAGGACAACTCCAAATACAAGGGCCAGCAAAATCAATAAAACACTAAAAGCGTACACTGGGGTGACAATATCAAGTTTACCTCAGCGCCGAGAAACCTAAGCTGTGGTGAAGTTTGGGACTGTGGTTGTCCAAGTGGCCAAGGAGGGATTTGTATTCACAGGAATGCAAATATTAGTCTAGCAACACAAGGCGTCTGTCATAAGAAGCCATCAGCAGTCCCCGATCCCCGAGTTCTGCAGTCACAATGTTCTGCTGGCCAGTCACCTTGAGTGTGTGCAGACTGAGCATGTGAAAGGCTGGGCAGCATCCAGGCTGTCTGGCTGTGCCTCACAGCTTTGCTTTAAATCTCTACAGTGAACCCCACACGAGCATCGATCGCTGTGGGAGACACCGTGTATCTAATACCTTTTCCCCGATGCAAATAAAATTCTGCTTTGAAATAAAAAGCAACTTTTACCTCATCATTCCACAAAGCTTTGTGGTCTAGAATAACTTAATCCTTGGTCACAAAGTAAATATGTGCCACAACAGAGAAGACGTGGGAAGGTTCCTGGAAAAACCAAAGTGTGTCTTCAGTTGACCACTCGTTTCCATAACTCTGCCAAGTGCAACAACGTGTTCAAACAACAGTTTACAAGCTAGTGTTGTGCTTCTTCCTTGGAAACGATGTGTGTCATCTTTGTAAGTACAGTGTACATGCAAGTGGCATACAGTCACTTTTGAAGGGACACCCGACGTATAAAACCAGGGATAAGTACAGATCTGCCACCAGCAGAAACAGCACACTTCATGTCAACAAGGAAGAGGAGTGCTAATAGTCTTCGCGGCTTAACGTCATCGTTAAGAATAGCAGCTGCTCGTGGATACAGGCCCTGCACTGTCTTGGCCACACCAAGGACCATAAGCTAACCTGTTTACATTTTCTCATCATTGTTAACTCTGCATATCTTCTCTGATTTTAATAAAGTGATTTTCTACTTCTGAATTTAATAACCGATTTTTACCCAGCCAACTGACTAACCAACCAATTAGCCAATCACATCCCCAAATTACATACAGATTCAAGTGTGTGAGGAATAATTCACACAAAAATATTATCCTATAGATTTCTTTTCCATTATTAGGAGCAAGACCCAGCGTAATTTGACAGAAGGGAACAGTGACCTACTTAAAGCTTTCTTTGAAGCAGGATGAACGCCGTCTTTGCAATGTTTGTTCAGGGAACTTGGCTGGGACCTCTCACATTTTATATACATATTTGAGAGCGGATGCCATATTGCCTAAGATTTCTAGAATATCTACTTAAAATAAACGGCCTCTTTATATTCCTTTCCTCCATCTCTAGTAATTTAAGGATGAGCTTATAATTATTACATGATAACTGACTTAAGTCACACAGATGGGGATGCAGGTTTGTGACGCTTCTGGAGGAAGTGGAAGCCAAGGCTCTATTTTAAACCAAAAAAATCTTTTATCAATAAATACTAGAGCCTTTTTGGGGGGTATATGCTCTGCTTCCAAGCTTGTTTCTCTATCACAGGAGTTCCTTAAGAGTTTAGTTATGCTGGCTGGTAATTATTGAGACCATAACTAGAGATGCCTTTTATTTTAAACTACTAAAGACACTCTTATGTGAGCAGGCTAGATGCACTTTAGCTAACGAGGTGTCTGGGCAACTGTCTTCCCTAACAAGGAAAGTCTTTTCCTTTGCTATTTGCTCATGAATCTCAAATCAGTCAGGTGTTAAGGAAGAAGGTAGTGGCTCAACTCCAGGAAATGAGGCTGAGCAATTTCCTAGCGATCTTCAGAAGGGAAAAACAAAACCAAGACATGTAAACACAGAATCTTGTTGGTAAACAATAGGAAACCCAAATGGAGAATCACTTCAGTAATAAGGACTGCCGCCACCCACAAGAGCCCATGTCCAAGAGCAGCTCCAGCCGCACTTCCACTGTGGGTTTGGACCCCTGAAGAAGCTGATCGGAGCTGGGAGTGCAATCACAGTGTTTATTGATTTCCAGGCCTCTGCTGCTCCCAGGAATCACAGGCCCCCTGCCCTGGCTGGCAGGGAAGGCTTGCAGTCCCAGGGCGGCCAGGGCCATGTCCGGTGGAGCTGTGTGGGCATGCTCTAATCGATGGTGGCACTAGCAGGGGCTGCCCTCAACCATGCAGAGTGGACACTGGCGTGGGCAGGCACTGGACACGTTCCGAGAGGGAGGCCGGGGACCACGAGTGCCGGCGCAGTGAGGACATGGGCCGCAGCCTCAGACCACAAAGCGGTGCTCCTTGCCGTCGTGAGCCATCAGGATGACGTTGCGGTTGGAAGTCCAGATGAGGCGGGCCAGTCGGAGGGCGTTGTGCGAGCCGGGGGAGGCGGGCTGCACCGGAGGTACCTGGTAGGTTTTGATGCAGCGCAGCTGAGGGGCCGAATTGAGCATACCGATGCTTCCGAGGATCGAGGTGTTCATCTGGAGGGAGACACACAACAGCACATGTGTGTTTATAGAGCCGACTGCCTCGCAGGAACACACATGGGTTCAGAGAACACACACTTACCGTCATTTCTTCTTCCTCAGGGTTATTTGATTCACTAAGAGCTTATTCTGAATCTCTCCCATTGCAGGAAAAAGAGGCCTGGTGATCTAATTCTAACACGCAGCCAGTAAACAGTGCACAGAGCATGTCAGGCCACGGGGCTGAGGTAAGACCAGCAGACTGCTCTGCTGTGCTGCCAGCAGACTCAACACAGCTCAGGGCAACAACAAAAGAGTCCCTAGAATGTCTGCACCCGAAAGGGTTCTTATGCTGGGACAGGAGAGGCTTGAACACAGGGAAATGAGACTTTGTGGTAGAACGTGTTAGCAGGCACGTCGAAGACAGACGGATGTCTAAGAAGGCAGTGGAAGGGTAGATCCTATTAAAACGGTTCAACTGAGCAATGCTAAGAAACGGTGGGCATTAAACAAAGCAGATCTAGGTCTTCCAGTTACTCTAACAGCAGCGCGTGACTCACTCACCAAGCCTTCAACATCTGCCTGTCCGAAGTCCAGCCCCCGCAGGTTCCTGGTTTGTTCTGAAGGGCACTGTGAATCGCACGTCCTTGGAACATTATCTGTGACTTATCATTTTGAGGAGCTGAGTCCTCTTCAACCCTTTGCTGACAATGATGTGTTCAGGTGCTAAAAATTTCTATTCAGCAGCTCTTCTGGATTTAAGAAAGTTTTCTTAATCCATTGTTGTTATTGTTGTTGTGTACTACTGAATCAGAACTGACTCACAGCTGACCCTCAGTGGGTTTTCAGACGTAATAAATTGCATGGGAAGAGACTGCCCATCTTTCTCCTGTGGAGAGGATGGTGGATTTGAACTGTGTACCTTTGAGTTGGCAGCACAATTCCTTACTGCTAAGCCACCAGAGATCCCAGTAAAGGGTAAAAATAACAGGGAAATGATGAGTGATGAACAACTCCACACTCAAGTTCAGGTATGGAAGTGGACGTTATCTGAGCAAAAGAGCCTGAAGAACCCTTTGTGGTTGTTGGTGCTGGAGGGTCGACTACGACTCATTCTGCCCTGTCCTGGGCCATCCTCACCATATCCAATGCTCCGTGAACCCTTTAGATTCTAAACCTTCCTTTAAACAGTTTCCATTAGCAACACTTGCACATTCTCAAATCCCAAAGGGAAGGGAAGCACACTGAGACGTGGCCCAGAAATCTGGGAAATGATATTTCTCCCCCTGGGAAAGAATACATTTCTTTCTTTGTACTCATTTTCATTCTCAGCTCTCTTCCCTTGTAAAAGATACGATGGGAGGGATTTGTGGGAGGCAGGCCAAGTAAGGCCCAATGGATGCAAACGGTGGACACAGGAAACCTGGGCGAATGCTGGGGCGTCTAAGAGGCTCTCATGCCTTGCATGTGGATCAGCAGGGTGTCTCAGGCGTCCCTGGTCCCGGCCCTCCTCAAGCGTCCCTGGTCCCGGCCTTCCTCAGGCGTCCCTGGTCCCGGCTCTCCTCGGCAGCAGGAGGGTGTCAGCGGCGTAAATCATGGCATCACCGGCAGGCTGCGTGCAGGCAGCACTGACATTTTCACAATTTAAATCATCTTGAGTAATAACCCTTTTAAGATGACTAATGTTACTGATTTTCCTGCATTAATAATAGTGCTGAACACAACACAGAGGTGAGAGAAAAAATCACTAGTGTACGAGGTCACATTTTAAAACCAAATAGAGGGTTATAGTTAACTCTTTCTGTTGAAGTTCTGCTCTAGGCTGTAACCTGCTGTCATCCTTTCCAAAGTCTCTTTCTGTGCTTCCTTCCTTCTTCCCCTCCCCCGCCAAAGTCATAAAAGAGAAAACAAACCAACAAATCAGTGCCTTATCACTTTCTGGAGGTGCCCAATTTAACTTATAAGTGATAATGGGGAGTTTGATTTGATAGTTCTCACCTCTGCAAAAAAGGAATAAACAGTACTGAAAAATTTTTGTCCTTCTACAGAATAGCTTCAAATGATCTGGAAAAATCACTGGTTAAAATTAATGGGCCTCAAAATGCATACTGAGCTTTTAAAAAAATCTAATTTCTCAGTTGATAAAAAAAAACCCCACAACCCTATAAGACATTTTAAAATATTTATGTATTTCCTCTGATTATGTGTCTGAAGTCTGAATTCTGCAGGCAAGTCACAATGTTGGGAACATCCAGTGTGTGCACACACTTCCCTATTTGAACTTTGTCCTTCAACTGTAGCCACGCAGAAGACAGAGGCCAAAAGCTAAAAACGTGACAGGGAGAGTGTTCCTACAGATGGAAAGATTCACAACAAAAAAGTCCATCTCTGTACCTGGGCTCCTTTGCCAACAGTAGCCATGCCTGCTTGGATAAGTACCTCTGAAAGGTGCAAATAGTTCCCTGCCTTCGAACAGAGCTCTGTGAACTCCTAGAAGGTATGACGTGACTCCAGGTGTGCACAGCTGGAACGAAGACGGCCCTGATTTTAACAATAATTCACTGAACCTCAAAATGGTGCTTTTCTTACATGCTTTCCAAATTACAGACAAATCTGAAATAGCAAGAGTATTAATTTTCCCAATAAGCTCAGCCAAAAATCTTCCCAGTTAGCTTAGCAACTGAGCTCTCATTGGAAGAATTAACCACTTTGTCATTCAATACTAATGTATTCTTGACCAGTGACTGCCTGCAAGCCATGTTAAAGTAAGAGGAACTTGAGCCCTGGATAAATGAACTCACTCATTCCATTGAGTCTATGCCAGCTTAACGTGACCCTACAGAACAGAGAACTACTCATAGGGTTTCCAAGACTGTGGACCGTTACTGAAGAACGTTCCATCTTTCTCCAACGAACACCTGATGGGTTCTAGCTGCCTTCTTCAAAGTCAGCAGTTGATCTCCTCAACCACCACACTACCAGAGTCCCTCGATAAAATGATTCTTTATTATAACTTTGGTTGCATTCACTTTTCCCCCTTGATTATATTAAAATCACTGTAGAAAATGCAAATGATGAAGAGAAGGATAAGAAAGAAACTAAGTCTCTTGAAAATTCATCATTAGCATTTTGATGGAAAGCCTTCCTTCCATAAATGTGTCTGTCTGTCTGTCTGTCTCTCTCTCTCTCACACACACATGCACACACACTCTCTTCCACACAAGGAGATGGAGTTAGAAGAGATCACGCATAAACAGGCTCACATTAAATGGCAGTTGCACACAATATTGCTTTTTCATCCAATTGTTTTTCACTCCATGAGCAATCTTTTCATGCTCATGAAAATGAAGTTATATCATCATTTTTTTAAAGAGCTGTAGATGGGTATAAATAAAAAGAAATAAACCCGGTATTTGTCTAATTGATTGGAAGGATTTCTGAAAGAGAATATCCGTTTGTTTGAAGGTGGGCTGCATTTTGTCCCCAGACTCCTCTTGCTTGACGCAGACACGAAACTGAAGCATCTGAGGGAGAGATGTTAGGGAAATGCGTGTGCGTGAGTGACCGAGCACCAGGCGGTGCTGCAGCTGCTACCTGAGAGCCAAGCTGAGCAGCTAACAGGGTGCTGGGGTGGCGGTGGTGCAGAGAAAGGAGGGAAACAGGGCAGGTGGCGGCGGAAGCGGAGAGGGGGCTGACACCGGTGGGCACGGCGGCCTGCCGTGGACAAGTGCAGCTGGATTGCTGAAAGGAAAACTGGTAACTTGCTGTGTTGACTTTCACCTAAAACACAATGTGACAAAGGAAAAAAGCAGAGGTTCTAAATGAACTAAAATGCAACTCGGGCTTTTCACAAAATCAGTACTGGGAAGTTTGTTATTTTGCACATACAGAAACACAGAAGGGCACAATTCATTGAATAACAGGAACTGCTTTAATGTGACTTTCTTTGTAAGTAATATGGCATGCAGACCTTTTACAAAGTCTCAGTTGAGTAATTATCCAACCAATATTTCTCATTAACACTCATTTCTCAGCAAAGATTTTAATAGTTGATGGCCCTAGTCAGATTCTGTATTAATATGACTTCATTACGTTTTCAAAATATATTACCGTACACTTCCTGGAATCATAATGAAAGTATCATACATCATCAGAACTAAACAACATCTATTTAAATAAATCAGCAAAGCCCACTTGAGGACAGTGGCGGTAGTTCCAAGACTGCTTTTTGGATCATCCTGAATTCAAATGAAAGATCATTCTGCTTCCGGCAGAGCTTTATTATAATTTCACAATGAAGCTGGAATGATGTATTTCTGGACCTCCTACTTAAATTTCAAGACTGAGCTGGGCATAATTAAGCAGGGAGGAAACAGGCGGCCTTGCATGTCCTGGCACTGGATTTTGAGGCATGAAAGGCCTGGGTATTGACGGAGCCGCTTAGGTGCACTCTGTCTAGAACGTCAACAAAACAGCCCTTGGGATATGTGAGTACTGGACTGGGGTGCAGCTGTCCTACCCCACCACAAACCCTCATGTACAGAGGTTTAAATGCGGTGTGAAAAGGCCAGAGATGACAGAGGAGTTTGGAGAGAGAACCGGAAGCTACAAAGAGGTACCTCAAGAAGGTATTAGGTACAGGGGCACAAACATAAATACTGAACGAACACCTCAGAGGACTGGCTTACAGACTATTGCAGGCTTAGGCTCTGTATTTCATGAGACAGTTGGTCCACTGGTATATTTCATAAAATTTCGATTTTATTTTCTTGAAGGAAGACAGAAAAGGAGGGGAAACGAAGGAGAGAGAGAATTGTTTACAAGGGATATATGACTGGGTATTATTGTCATTACAGAGTCCAGAATGAAGGCTGCATAGGGGAGTGGACTTGGGGGCAGGGATTGCATAACAATGAAAGAGTTTTACTTTTCAAGAAGAGTGAATGGGGGGAGGGGGTGGACATGGAGATAAGTGCAACACTGAATGATTGGAAACCCTACGTTCTGTAAACTTTCATTAAAATTAATTTAAAAAATGATTAAAATATTAATAAAAAAGAAAACATTTTCTATTTTATTTTCCAGTTTGATGAGTAGTAGCTGGGGCCACAAAAGCTTGCAATGGGCAGCTCAAGATACATCTACTGGTCTCTCCATATCTGGAGTAAAAGAGAATGGAAAATACTGAAGACTCAGAAGAAACTCGTTCACGAGATTGCTATTCTTGTATATTGTTGTGTCAGAACCAACCCATAGCTGACCTTCCAGCGGGTATTCAGAGACAGTTAATTACCTGGGAGGAGACTGCACAGCAGCTGTTGGCCTCCAACTACGTGCCTTCAGGGCTGCAGCACAGCTTCTTGCCCCTAGGCCACCAGAGCTCCAGTTTACGAGATTAATAATCTGCAAAATCACAAAGTCTCATCTACCCTGAGATCAAAAGAGCTAGAAGGCACCTGGGTATCATGACTTAGCTTTCTGAACTAGAACGTAATCAATGGAGCCTGGGTACCACTCGATCATTCCAAACAGGGACATAATTGATGGTGCCAGATAGAGTGGGAGCAAAATATGGAACAGAACTTAAGATTCTCAAAAAGTTCCAAATTAATGGACCAGTTGAGAGCAAAGGACTCCTCATGATGATTTCTCTGAGATCTTTAAACCATGAACCAAAACCCTTCCAAGAGCTCACCATGCAGTTAAAAAACAGACTGACTCATAAAAGAAACATCATCATCTAAGAGTGCCGTGCGTCATAGAAATGACCAACACTCCCTCCGAAGCCAAGGTAGGAAAGGCAGGCAGGCAGGGAAATAGGAGTACAGGAAACGGCTCCACAGAATGAAAATAATGAGGAAACGGACACACTGTGTAATGCAACCAGTGTCACTGAGCAGACGGTTGAGAAAATTGTCAATGAGAACCCAGTACGTTGTTTAAATATGCACAGAAAACACAATCAAATGTTATTTTAACATCCCCCCCCACACACACACACCCTTCCCCTAAAGAGCAGTTCTATTCTGTACACATTGAACTGGAGTAAGTTGGAATTGACTCAATGGCGACTAAAAACTGGATTAAAAGTTGAAGCGTGGAGGGTCAAAAAGAGAGAGAAAGAGATTATCTAACCATAGTGTCCTCTAACATTAAAAAGAATGTCGGCCAAAATTTCACCCATGACTGAAGCAGATTCATAAAAATAGAAAAAAATACTCAATGAAGAGAGAAAAAGATTCAAATAAAACCAGATTTAGACAAGAGGAAAAAGGTTCATCATTCAGCAAATACAGGAATATGGCAGAAGTCTGGATCTGGTGTAACCTCTGGTAGCTGGACTGTTGACCCAGGGTCACACCTCTTTGTGGGTGTGAATCTAAAAACACACAGATGGAGACAGACAGGCAATCTCCTCCCATGTGGTTTACAGCTTTGCAAATCCAATCGAGGGCTGTCTATGAGGTGCTTCTAACTTCATGGCAATGAGAACTGAGAGTATGCATTTCTTTATTATACATAATATGTCCTTAGTAGAAAAAAAATTGAGCAAGTGTAACAAAAGAGAGATTTGTTTATTTCCTCTAAGAAAAAGCACAGGTTTAACTCAAGCTTTCATGAAAAGCAGCAAGTCCATGACTTGTGATGTCCACATCTCTGACACATCTGCCAGGCCTAGAACATTCTAGCTGACATCAAGAAAACAACCCATAATGACCCCATGCTCAAAGGAATGATACGGTCCTGAGCATCTCCATGGTGCGCTGGGGGCTATCATAACCCACAGATTTTTACTGGCTGACTTTGGAAGCAAATCAGCAGATCATCCAAGTTTCTCTTATCTGGAAGTTCCACTGAAACCTTCTCAGCATGATCCCAACACACAACCCTCCACTGCAGACAGGTGGTGCGTGCTTCCGAAGGGCAATGGCTGAGAACCAAACCTGGGTCTCCCACACGAAAGGCAAGAACTTTACCACCGACCCTCCACTGCCCTCATCCTAGGCTCTCACTTCATATGCTTTCAGAGGTTTTTAAGAGAACAGAAAATAAGGAAAAGTTTGTACCAAAGAACAAGTTGCTGGGATAGAGACCACTGCATTAGGCTACACAGAAACACTGCTGGTAGGTCAACCTTTGAAAGAGTCACTGAAGAGTATCCAGTTTGGGAGAACTAATGGATTAACTCTGAGGTTTTAGCTGTGTAAAATAAGAATCCCGTGGTTGCCCGCTGGGAAAAATGAAGACCAGGTGAGATTGCTGGGGAAAAGAGTTTAATACAAACTAGTTAAGATGCTGGAGATAAATTCTGAGAGAGGATAATGAGAAAATAAACTGGAAAACTAAATTAGACCAAGAGGAGAAAAAGTCGGTGACAGATTTGGAAGTTGTCATGCTTTAATAGCATGTTGTTAATTAAGCAATTTATTGTATCCGTTTTACATTTTATTAGCTATTGATTTTTTTTCAACCATCATCAAGTTGTGCTGAAGCCTTGTTTAAACTTCTCTTTTTTTTATTTTTAGCTTTCAAAGCAATAAACTGAACCTCATAAAACATACTTGCACCTTGGAAAGTGAAGGTTAACAAATCTTAAATTCACTTTTTTAGAGGGAGATTGATGAGGTTTAAGTGTTTTTAAAACCATCAAGACTCAAAGAAGTAAGGTAATTAAAAAGAAGCTGTGATAAGAAGCTTCATTAAGGATGAAACGAGTTCATAAAATTAGTTGCTCAAAATTGGTATTTCTTTTTATTGAGAATTAAACGTGTGCATTATGAATTGTCAGCCACAGAGACAAACTCAGATTCTTTTTAGACATTTTGAATGATTGAATTTTAGAAAAATTTTGAGTAGAGATTCCTTTTAGAGGTCTTGAATTTCTATGAGTTTGGGAATTAAGAGCAATCTGTATGAAATTCAGAATGCAAACAAAATTCAGATAATATAAAGTTATGACTGGATTGCATTATTTTCTCTGAGCCTACATCCTGTGAACAGTTAGCATGTAAGACCCAAGGAATGTACTATCAGCGCGGTGTGCATCCCCAGTCCAAGGCGGCCGTCAACTCTCTCTGCAGACAGGTAAGCACACCATGCCCCTACTCAGCCCCAAACTTCTGCTCTGGCTGACGGTTGCCTTAAACACCCTCTCATTTCCACCCTCACATCTGGCCCTTCCCCAAAATCTCTTGTCTCAGCTTAGAGGTTACTTCTTCAGGGAAGGTCACTTCTAAGATCCTCTTCTGTATTGTAAATTGCTTATATATCTGCATCTTCTTCAGACCGAAAGGATTGTGACAGCAGACTATGCCCTCCTGCCCACTTCCCAGTTTACCAATCATATTTTCAGTACCGCGTAGGTTAACACCTGGCACACAATCAGCAAGCAGGAACACTTGATGTTTGTTGGCAGAAGGGAGGCAGGATGGTGGGGAAGAGAGAGATAGAACGGTGGGAGAGCCATTGGCTTACCAGGAAACTTCTTCTACCAAAAGCCCACCATGCAGTGCCCTCTCCTTTAAGAGCATCGGCTGTGCTTACCTGCCAGAAGGAAATGTGGCTGTCCGTATTCGAATAGGTGGCAAGATACCGTCCGTCAGGAGCAAAGGCCACTGCAGTGATTGGTCCCTTGTGTCCGTGGATGGTCTAAAATAAAATTCAGAAGTCATTATTGTGTGTACAGCACAGAACCATCAGACACAACGCCGCGTTCACGTGCAAATGCATCCTTTGCTGAACAAGTTACTTTACAGACATTAGACACTGTTAGGTTCTTTGTTTAAAAAATCAGGATAAGGTTAAAAGTCGAAGGAATCAAAGTCTGCTATCTGATCTAGCTGAGGACCTCAGGACTTCAGCCTCGCTCTCACATGCCCCCGTTTCCTAGTTGGGAGGGCAGGGTGAGTCCAAAGAAAATGCACATCTTAATGGGAAAACCAATGAGTTAATTTGCTTATGTCCATGACAGGGGTGAATTTCACAATTAATTAGGAAGGTAAGAAGCTGACCAGCAAATCTATTCAGGAACCTCTCTCAGCTGTAACGCAATCAAAGCTCCATCATAACGCTCCTGTTGTCGAAGGAGTTAAAAGCTCAATTCCGACTCTCTGATGTATTTTTCCCGGTTTGATGCTTTGTTTCCCATCAATAGCGCTGTGTAACCAGCAAACATACATGCGAACATGTGTTGGAGGTTTAGACATATGTATAAATCAACTACTATTAAAAACATGTTAGCCTGGATAATTTTGAGTCTTTGCCAAATAACTATCATTGATTTAACCATGAATAGGAAAGGACACTGTATTTTAGAATAGGTCTTTGAGAAAATGCCTAGGCTAATAAAAATTATACTTCAAGCTAATGAAATAATTAGTATCCCAGAAAATATCGGGATACTATGGCAATTAGCATAATATGATATTAATAATCAGCACACAACTATTAAGGACCAAACATCTGCTACATGGATTAATATTCAGTCTGGCTTAAAAGCTGTGGGCTGATCTCCTCCTTTTGTTTAGAAGGAAGTGGGGAAATGAGTTCTCTTGGGCTAAGAACACATAGGGTGGTTTGCTTCTGAGGTGAAGAACATTGAAGCCGGAATCTCGCAGAAAGCACCAGCCTCATAGTGTGGCTTGGCCCACACAGCCCATAAATTTCAAAAGGCTTCCTCCATCATTCAGAGCAGAGTGATCGTATGAGGAGGGGGACAGGAGCACCGGCCCGTTTTGAGGGCTCTGAATGCTGTTTTAATCACTTATCTTTTAAGGCTCTAGGTCCAGAGAAGTGTCCATTTTTCACAGCTCACTTAAAAAAAGGAAGTAAAAAATAAAAAAAGGAAGTAATCTTGGTGGTGCAGGGGAGGAACTTGGGCAGACAGGAATAAAAGGAAAAGTTTAAAAATAAAGGCTATTAATATTTTTTCCATTCTTCCTAGCTGCAGAAGATGTGAACAATCACATAATTTCAATTACTTAAGCATATTATTTAATGAAGACGTTTGAAGCGGGGGGGGGAGGGGGGGCGGGGCGGGAGGGATTCCCTCACTATAAATATAGAGAATTGGTGTCAACAAGCATACAGGGTTGCCTAGAAACATCAGGCGGATTTCAGACGGTGGCATTTCATTAACCAGCTGTGGTAACTGTCCATGGTGCTGATCCACAAAGAGTGTGCTAAATTAGGCAGCAGAGAAAAACCTGCTGAAAAAGTAGTGCCACAAACCAGCTACATTAGAAAAGAATTACTGTAGATGGGGCGCACGGAGGAATTAACTAATTACACTGCCACTCATTGTTGTACTTTTCCTGTGTGGTTCGATAAGTGAAACAAAACCCTAACACACCAGAGCCGTATCTTCTCATTTAGAACGTCTTCATGATATTCATAGTTCATATTATGCCCTCATCTTTCACACAGGGTTGGCACATAAAAACTACTTCAAAACTGCAGCTCTCTCAGTTGAAGACATCATTCATGATACTCCCTATGAGAAAGGCCTGTGAAATAACTTCTTCCTATTTTTTATCAGGAAAAGAATTCTCTTGCCAAAATGTTTTGAAATTTCTTTTATCATGTAGCAAAATTACAACATAATCTATTACATATTTGTTTTACTTCCAGGAAATTTAGGACTAAATTTATACTCATCCTCTGTGTCTATTAATAATTGCTTCCTGTTCATTTTATGAGGCATCACATGGCTTTTGTTTTGCTGTAGAGGCACTGGGATGTACTAAGTTTAATTATGTTAGTTCATCAAGTACTTTGGGAAAATGGACTACATTTTTAGATTAGAATGCACTGAGTAGTGAGTGGGATCTTAAAAGCTTCTTCTTCCTGTGTGCTGTTTAGTTGGAACCGACTCAAACCTGACCCTCCAGCTGGTTTTCAGAGGCAGTAAATTACATGAGAGGAGATTGCCCATCTTTCTACCATAAAGCAGCTGGTTGATTCAAACTGTGTGCCTTTAGGATTGCAGTGCAGCTTACCAATAGGCCACTAGAGCTCCCTAAAAGCTTGGAAACAGTCATCTAGGGTGCAACTATGGTCTCTCCCAATTTGAGCAAAGACAAGTAAGAGAATAAAAGGCTATCAGTCCAAAGGTCTGACGGATCACATGAACCTCAGTGTGACTAGAACTAGATAGCACCTGGAAACCACTTCTGGCAGCTCTGGGAGGGAAGGTCTCTGACAGTGTGAGATAAAACTGTGAAACAAAAGTCATAAAAAGACTAGGCTGGCAGCGACAGGTGGAACCTTTGAGACTCTGGCCCTTATTCAGCCTAGAACAAAAATCCCTTCCATAACTCAATTTCCAGGCACACAATGGATAGGTCTATAAGATTGTGTTGTTGTTACATGCTGTTGAGTCACCTGTGACTCACAGCGACCCTATGTACAACAGCCCTAAATCCTGCTCTATCCTGTGCCAATCTCACTGTCTCTGACGCACCTACCCCCATTATCCCAGTCACTGAGTCAATCCACTTCATAGAGGGACATCTTCTCCTGTGCTGTCCCTCCACCCTTCCAAGTGTGACATTCTTCTCCAAGGAGTGGTCCCTCCTTGCAACATGTCCAAAGTATGCCAGATGAAGCTTCAGAATCCTTGCCTCCAAGGAGCAGCCTGGTTTAACCCTCTCTAGGATCAACCTGTTTCCTTAGTAGTCCAAGGTATATTCAATACTCTTCTCCAACACCACAGTTCAAAGGCATCTATTCTCCTATCATTCCTAGTCATTGTCCAGCTCTCTGATGCATAGCAAGGAATTGCAAAGACCATGGCCTGTATCAGGCATACCTTAGTCTCCAGAGTAACACCATTGCTCTTTAGTACTTTGGAGAGGTCTCTAACAGCAGACTTTCCCATTGTAATACATCTTTTAATTTCCTGGCTGCTGGTGCCAAGAGTGTTTATTGTGAAGTCAAGCAAACTAAAGCTGTTAGCAATCTCAATCTCTTCACCATCTTTCATGATGCTGCCAATTGGCCCAGTGGTGAGAATCTTGGTTTTCTTGATATTGAGTTTCAATCCAAATCAAAGGCTACAGTCCTTGACCTCGTGCAGCACGCGCTTCACGTCCTCTTCAGTTTCAGCAAGCAGGGCTGTGTCATCTGCATAATATAGGTTGTTGATGAATCTTCCTCCAATCCTGATGCCACATTTCTCATACAGCCCAGCCTGCCGGATAATCTGTTCTGCATATAGATTGAAAAGGTATGGAGACAGGACACATGCTTGGTGTACACCCTTCCCAATTTTGAACCATGCAGTGTTTCCTTACTCTGTTCTGATGACTGCCTCCTGGCCCAAGTATACGTTTCTCATTAGCATGATCAAGTGTTCTGGGATTTCCATTCTTCTCAGAATTAGCCACAGTTTGTTGTGATCCACATAGCTAAAATGCCTCTGAATAACCAATGAAACACAGATAGATATTTCCCTGGTACTCTCTGCTTTCAGCCAAGAGCCATCTAACATTAACTCCAATGTCAGCATTTCTTAAGCTTAAGGAACTGAAGAACAAATTCAAACTTCGAGTTGCAGTACTTAAGGATGCTTTGGACAGAATAATAAATAATCCAGGAAGTATAAAAAGAAGATGGAAAGAGTATACAGCTTCATCTTACCAAAAAGAACTGGCTGACACAGAAGAATTTCATAAAACAACATATGAGCAAGAGCCTATGGTGATGATGGAAGAAGTTCAAACTGCTTTGAAGGAATTGGCAACAAAATAGGCCCCAGGAATTGATGGTATACCAACTGACGTATTTCACCTAACAGATGCTGTCCTAGATGTGCTCACCAATTTGTGTCAAGAAATCTGGAGGACAACCACTTGGCCAATTGACTGGAAGAGATTTATATTTGTTCCCATTCCAGAGAAAGGTGATCCAACAGAGTGTGGAAATTATCGAACAGTATCATTAATATCACATGCAAGCAAGATTCTGCTGAAGATTATCCAAAAACAAATGGAACAGCACATCAACAGAGAACTTTCAGAATTGTGGGTTGGGTTTTGAAGGGGTCGTGGTCCTAGGGATATTGTAGCTATAAGATTAGCAGGCTTCTAATCTTGGTACCAGCACTGAAGAAATAAAAAAAACCGAAACAGATTCTACTGGAGAAGTCTGCTGTTAGGGACCTCTCTAAAGTATTGAGAAACGATGATGTCAGTTTGAGGACTAAGGTGCACCTGATTCAGACTATGGCCTTTTCAATCACTTGCCATGTAACTGAGAACTGGACAATGAATAAGCATAACAGAAGAAGATCTGGTGCCTTTGAGTTGTGGTGCCAGGGAAGAGCGCTGAATGGACTGTCAAAAGAGCAGATACATCTTAGAGAAAGTGCAGACAATGTTCCTTAGAGCAAAGGATGGCAAAGCTTCATCTCACACCCTCTGGGGCAGATTGTTAGGAGAGTCTATTCCTTGGCAAAGTGAGCCAGAGACTGAGGAAAGAGAGGAGACCCTCAACGAGATGGGTTTAACACAATGACTTTTACAATGGGTGCAACTGTGTCAGAGGTGATGAGGATGGCACAGGACAGGACAGGGCTCAGAGATGCTGTTAAAGAGATCACTATGAGTTGTACTGGACTCGATGTCTTCTGACAACAATAACATGAGATG